ACTTCTTGCAGTCTTCTGCCATGGGAATCTGTCAATAGCCACTTTTTAAATCAAGAGTGGAAAATACATTGGTATTCCAAATTCTTTCAAGATGTCGTGGATCTTGGGCAATACTGCTGATTCATCAACAGTGATGGCGTTCAATTTTCTATAGTCCACGCAAAACCTCTGTTTTTTTGTCTGGTTGTTCAACGATGACTGGAGGCGAGTTGTATGGGGAGCTTGAAGGTTCTATTATCCCAGCTTCCAGCATTTCTTGCATTTGCTCGTCCAGTATCTGTTTCTTTTGTACTGACATCGGATAAGGGTTTTGGTAGACCGATTTATCCGACTGTAGTCGTATAGTATGTTTGACGATCTGTGTAGTTGCTGCACCAGGGACATAATCAAATAGGTCTTGAAATTCTTCGCATACGGGCTTCAACTCCGGTGGGGTCTTTAAAGTGTCTGGTAGCGTCACAGGACTCTTTAGCTTTCTGTGTGTCACCGCTCCAGAATACTGTCTGTCGTTGGTTCTTTCCCATATATAACATTTTCGGGTGAAATCCATAATCACTCCCTCTTGAATCATGAAAGACATCCCCAAAATAATGTCTTCATTGAGGCCAGGGATGACTTGAAATTGGATCGAATATCCGACGTTGCCGAATGTGCATCTCAGTCACGATTCCGGTAGAAGCGGCGGTTTTGTCCCCGCATGCCATTCTGAAATCCTTGGACGACTTGGTTTGGATGAGGTCGACATTACGAGAGAAGATGTCACCACTTACTAAGTTCAGAGAGGCTCCTGTGTCTACTAAGGCTCTGTACTTCTTTCCATTGACGGTAATCTGCACACGTGGTTCGATGGACTTGAGTTGGTAGATGGCTAGTTGTGTTTTTAGGTCAGTTTGGATGGCAATCTCCCTGGTGTTGCGTTTCTCGGGAGTTCCCCTGGACGGTTCCCTTGAAGCTGCGTTGTACGGTGGTACCTCTGGTGACCCGACATCGTGGTGCACCTGTGCTATGGTTTGGATTTGATTTTGTCGAGAACTGGGTTGGCGGTTCGTTGATGCATATGTTCGCAGCAATCTGGATTGGGCCGTTGTTCCCGACTGCTGCTGCATATAGCCGCGAGGTTCCGCGGCCCTTTCTAAGTTTAAAGGCCTCTATTGACCTTGAGTGTAAGGGTTAAATGAGCATTCCCGATTATAGTGCCACTTGGCAAAATTTGTAGGGCGTCGGTGGACGACTGGTTGGTAAAGGCCGACAAGGTACAGCCAAGTGAGGATCGAACCTCTCCATCTTTCTCTCGGGCTTCCCCTGACTGGGTAATTGTTGATTGTTGCTGCTGTATTTGGTCGCATTACTGGAAGGTGGATCAGAGTAAACTTTCTTCCAGTAAAAAGCCTCCTCCTGGACATCGGACTCGGCTTTCACGGCGAAATTTATCAGTTTTATTATGTCTTGGCACGTGTGACTGCGCACCCTAGACCTAATGAGTGGCAGGAGCTGGTCTATCAAAACTTGCACAATCACCTCTACCCCTATGTTTGGACTCATTCTAGCAAATAGGCTGCGTTTGCGTGTGATGAATACTTCAATGCTTTCTCCAGGCGCGCCACGCGCCATTATTACATGGCTAGAAATTGGCCTCAATGATTTGAGAACGAGGGGGATTATCCCTCTTTATTCTGCCTCATCTCGTGTAGGCCTGGACAGCCTTCGTAGGTGGGCCTCATTCGTCGTTTACCCCGACCGCAAATGCGGTCGGTGTAGGCGCTTTGTGGGACCTCCTTTTGTTCTGGCTGGGCCCCGCCGGCTAGGGCCCTTTCTTCTGGAGCTCTTCTTGCTTCGCCGGCTCGTCTGTGTAAACCGCGGGGGTGGTGTCATGTTTATGTGTGATATGGTTGGGTAGGGTAGTGTGGCTATGCAGCCTGGGATGCGCTTTGCTAATGGCCCTTAGGCTAGCGCGGGAGGGGAGGGGTAAGGAGGGTATTGGGGGTGTGTATGTGTGTGTCGTTGTTTTCGTTTCTTGATCCTGGCGGTTTCTGAATCAGAAAAGGTTAGCGGACAGGGGCGGGGGATGTCGTTGGGGTGGTCACCCGGGGACAAAAAGTTGGTGCCTAGGTCTTTTGTGTTTGTTGGTCACGTCGGATTGTAATCAACGGCTTGCCTGAGGAGGGGATTGTCATGTCTAGCGGCTACGTCAAACCGTTTCTCCGCGTTTTGTCTTATTGTCTGTGTAGCGTTTGTGTATTGTAAGTCTCGTAATATGTCGGTGTTTGTTACGTACCAGGGCGCGTCGGTGGCGTGCGGAGGGCTATGATTTCCACAGCCTGTAGTGACTTTAAATGGCTGTTTGCCGCGTAACCCCACGCCGTGGAGGCGTAGGTTAGCTGCGGTTGAAGTACCACCTTGATAAGCGTTCGCTTATTCCTTAAACTGAGGGTGTTTCCACCTTTGAGTAAGGGATAGAGCCTAGCCCTGGTGGTCTTCGTTCGCGTCACCGTCTCCACGATGTGCGGTTCCCACGTGAGACGCTGGTGCATCGTCACGCCCAGGTATCGTGTTTGTCGATTCCAGGAGATGGGTTCCTGGGATAGTGTCAGTCTGTCGAGGTTTTGTAGTTTTTTTCGTTTGGTAAAAAGGATAGCCGAACTTTTGTCAGGTCGTCGGCGTATAAGTATATGTTGGTTTTGGGGGGATGTGGGATGTCGGAGTTGTAAATGGTGTATAGGTGTGGGGACAGGACGGTGCCCTGGGGGGCACCGTCCTCCATGGGACGGGTGGTGGAAAGGGAGTCTTGGATTTGGATGCGGAAATTTCGGTGGTGTAGGTAGGATTTTATGAGTTTGGTAAAGGATATGGGATATTGGTTGGTGAGCATTTTCATCAGTAGGCCTTCATGTCAAACCGTATCGAAGGCCTTTGCGACGTCCAGGAAGACAGCACCAGTGTATTGTCCCCTGTTGAAGTTCAGTGGAGTGATTGGGTCGGAAGACGAACTGCTCGTCTGGAATGACTCGCAGTTCTTGGGAGTGGGTTCTTAGACGGATTAGGATGATTTTTTCTACCACTTTGCTCATAGCCGGGAGAAGGCTAATGGGCCGGTAGTTGGATGGGAAGGTGTGATCTTTGTTGGGTTTTGGGATAAGGATTATATTTGCTGTTTTCCAGCGGGTAGGGAAGTGTCAGTCTGAGTGTCGCGTTTGTTATGTTTAGTAGGGCCATGAGGCCCTTGTGTGGTAGTCGTTTAAGTGTCGTGTTATGTATATTGTCGGGTCCGAAGCTTTTCTGTTTTTAAGTCTGCGTATTGTCAGTCTTAGTTCGTCAGGTGTTGCGGGGGAGATTATGTCATTGTCTAGCTCTCTGTCGACGCGTCGGGCCGCGCGCTCAACCACTGTCTCGAATTCCTCGTCTTCGTCGGGCAGCTGAGACAGTCTACACTGCAGTTCCAGGCTATCGGCGAAAGCCTCGGCCTTTTCCTGGTTCGTATAAACCACCCCCACACTACCGTGGATTGGAGGAATTCTACGGCGAACGGTGTGTCGCAGGGCCCTCTGCGATTTCCAGAGTTTGTTGTCTTGTGTATCCAGCGACTGCAGGTGCCTAGCCCAATTGTCCTGGGCTAGTTCACACAGAGCCGCCTTCACCCGTCTGTTAAGTACGTTTAAGTCATGTCTGTGTCGGGGGAGGCGGGTGCGGGTGGCAAGCCGTTTCGCACGTCGTCTGTCATGTATTAAGTTTTTTATGTCATCGGGAAGGGTGCCCCGGGGGTTTGTCAGTCGGGAGACAATAGTCTCCGTCGTAGTCTGAGTCAGGGCGTTTTTAATGTCAGTCTCAAGGGAGAGGATTGCCGCCTCCAGATCATGGGTGGTTTCAATGACTGGGAGCGCGATGTTTCCTTGCATTACTGCTCGAAAGCGCTCCCAGTCAGTGAACCTCCTCTGAATAATCCTATAATGAAGGCGTCTAATAGTCAACGCCCATTTCGCCCTTCCACAAATAAGATCCACTTCTTATTTGTGGAAGGGCGAAATGGGCATTGACTATTAGACGCCTTCATTATAGCCATCCTTGTCTATCACATGGATTTCTATGGCTTACTTTATCGCTCTTACGTAACTTCTGATAAACCATCGGTATTTTCCTACACTGTATAACCACCCAGATAAACAATTGGCTAATTTATCCTAGCGGTCACTAGATACTGCTCAGTCGGTCTCAAGGGTGATTGATTCCCTCGTTACATTTATTTACAAGATAACAAGGCAAGATAATAAATAATTTATTTATGAGTGCCACTGGGTTTTTAAGGGCCCCATATTCTTTAAATGGTGTTTTCCGCAAAGACAAATAATTTCAAACCTTTAATAACTGAATAATCTAAAGCTTATCAAATAATAGGAATGTTATGTCATGCCACCTGAGTATTTTCAAAGACGCCGCAGTAAAACGAATAAACAGGTGCAAAAAACGATCAAACCATCAAGGTTTTAGGTACTGAAATCTACGAAAATACTAACTTTTTTATATATAATTCCACATGTAAATATTCTTATAACATTTACTTGCTTAGTCCTACATATAAAATTGTTTACTTTTATTTATAAGTACGTGAAAATAATTCTTAAAATGTGGGATTAGGATAACAACAAACGCGTGATTTACAAACGCTTTTTTTAGTTATTATTTTATTTGAGTAAATTTAAATGGTAACAATGAATAAACAAAACATCAAGGATTTTATTTTTGTGCTTACTTTTGTTCTACACGTTTTACTTTTAAAGATTTCAGTACCTAAAAACGCCAGAAATTTCACTATTTCTCGGCCAGGAATATGGCCACCTTAAGGAAAAACCAGAAATCTTTAAGACTATGTTAATTCTGTGGAAACGGTAAACTGAGAGAAGAGAACAAACGTTATTTTTTGACTACTGGCTTTTACAAGAAAAATTTTTACTTGTGACCCTTATGAGATAACACCAAAACAAACTTATCTCAGCTGTCCTGTGCTGATGGAACTGATGGCAGCTATTACAGTCAAGGTGGCTATCTACGTGTCCTCCTCAGTTGCACAACTGGCTTATGTGGCAACCTGCCTTGGTTCCGTTGATGTTAATCAACTATTGGACTTGGAGCGAAGTGGAAGCTTCCTGAGCGTGAGGCACAGCTGGATGTAGTCCTCTCAGGTGGTCAGGATGTAAAGTCATACAAAGAAATTGTTTTAGGCATAGATCAGAATTATAAAGGTTGCCAAGTGTATTGAAGCAAAATATATAATAATGTACAGGGTGATTGCTTGATCTTAAATTGTCCAAGTAAATTTTTAATAACTAGTCACTAGTTATGAAGTAGAAATTGACTTAATTATAATATATATAGTAAATTGTCACTAATCTTAACAATGGTATGCTATGTGTGATAGCTACACACGTTTTCAGCAAATAATTTTCAAGATAGTCTACAAATGACAATGATATGATTTAAAAATGTTTCCAAATACAATGTACAAAGAAACTATTTACAAAGCTATATGTTAGATAATTCTTGCTTTTGCCTTTATAATTGGGGTGAAATCTCTATACTGAAAGAAATCTAATATTTAAGCTTCGCTAAACCTCATTTAGCAAAAAGAGAAAAGGAAAGGAAATGAAAAATATGTACACAGTGCAAATCTGCACTACTCTATTTAAGATAAGGTAATCAATAGCAATCGGCTACTGAAAATATAGACTCATGGTCAAGCATCCAAGATAATTATAAAAAGAAAACTAGTTGCTTTACCATGACAGTAAACTAACTGTGGGAAACGATGAAAACTAATAGACCTGGCTCGGACACTGACACTAACCAGGCAAGGAAAGCTCACTTAAAGTATGAACACCGGGTGGTTACACGTTCTTTAACAAATTTTACATAGGTAAAACAAAAAAATGTCAAAAAGAACTTACCTATTCAGTATATTCTAGGAAACCTTCGAGCCTTCTTCTTTCCGACTTTGTGTCCATGATGGCACTCCAACGGTCTTTTCACTGGCTCATCACTCTCCCACGTACAAAATTTCACCTAAAAACAGTTAACAGCAGTAACATGTTTTCCTCAGGTAAAAGGTTTAGATAGCAATGATTAATTACATGTGACAAACTAGGTAATGAAAACAGCATGGCATGCTTAGTCTACAAATATATGCCGCAAAATTAATAAATCCAAGCAATTTACAGACTTCCACCGTTGGCACTATTAATCTCTTACTTGAATTTAGCCATATTTAACAAGAAAGTTAAATTTTAATGCAAAATTTATAAAGCTAAGTGAAAAGAAAATTCACCTACCCTTCAGATCTAGCTCGTCTCGGTCAATCGGTCAGTGTTCGACGTTCGACATCTATCCGCTCCAGAAATCATAAAACCGTTTCCGGCAGAAACTTTACGGTGAACACTTCATATTTTTCTTAACCGAACGCGATGGATCGCTTGGGTTACTGAGTTTATGACTGCGAAGCGCGCATAGTTTGCCAAGGCTTGTAAACGCAGGTGGTATTAATCCCAGTGGTTAGATACACAGGTGTATTCATTTAAAATAATAAATCAATATAACAAAATTAGATACAATTTTGTGCAACCAACAACTACAATTTAGTGTTTTCTGTGGCAACCTTACAGCTTTTTGTTGGCAAAAAATTTGACAGAAAATTCATGCCTGAAGTTTCCACCTGACTATAGGCTTTTTTTCGCGACTGAATATTGGTGAATATCTGACTTGTAGTCACTATTTCCATCTCTTTTGATCTTAGTTGTCATATGATAGTTTAAATCTCTTCACTCACTCATACTACACATACCACAACATACAACTTCATCTGGATATTTCATGTAATAAGATATTTTCTATTGCAGGTGGTTATCACTGGATTACTGGAAAGTTGTCAAAATTATGTTGTAAGTAAACAGTCAACATTAACACATTGGCATCCTGTCTTAGGATGGTTTGCGCAACCCACGGACCCTTTGTTACATGCAGCCATACCACATGTAAAAATCCAACTCCACCTGTTGTGGAATAAGGAGGTTATTCAGATTTTATTAGGTAAAATACCTACCATTTTCTATATGAATGTATTATGTATTCATATAGATATTTATGTTTTTTACATTTTTCAGGTAATTTCCTATCAGAGTTAGTTATTGTAACAGAAGTTCCTCAAATTGTGAGTCCTACACAGGGAAGTTTAAGTGGAACAAATTTTTTCAAGAAAGTTTTAGAAAACCGTGTTAGTAAAAATTCAGTACAAAAAACTTACAGAGCTCTTGGTAGTCCTGAAGTACACAGAGTGGTTCTTATTTGTTCCTTATACCATACTGCTCTAAACACTTTAACTCAGTTGCAACTAGATATATTAACAGGTAAAATTTTCAAAATATAAAAATACGTTTTATCTATTTTATTAAATAAGTGAAAAATAAGTACAGATAAACGAAAAGGAGTTGCTGTCAAAAACAATATGGTTAGATCCTAATAAACAAAAAAAAAACATAGCTAGCCAAGTTAGATTTATATTTAAAATTAAATGTTACAATGGACCCGATATATTCTAAATATAAATAATTTTACAAATAATGCAGGAATATAATTAAAAATATGCATATGAATATTATTTTAAATAATCGTAAGTTAACCTTACTAAAACGATCATGATGATTCTAATGATGGTGATGATTGTGATGATGGTGATGATGTGATGGTGCATATTAATTGTTATGATTGTGATGATAGTGGTGATTGATCGTAATGATGATGACGATGATTGTGATCAGAGTCAGACTGAGCCTGAAGGACCCGGGTGGCATTATGCAGTATAAATGAACTATTTTGCATGTGGCGGTAAGCCTGGGGATAGGGACCTTGTGATGTACTTTCGGGGTTCGGTCGCAGACGCCGAACTAGTACAGTCACTTTTCACAGTCCGGGTTCACTTGGTGGAGAAGTGTTTTCCAAGGTTCGGGAATATTACAAGACTTTGTATAAATAAAACTTTTATTTTCCAAAATAAATCGCAGTCTGTAAATACATATAATATTAACAATAATATCCTACCCATATAACTAACATAAACACCGGGATACCTATTGTCACGAAGGCAATACGTATGTCCTGACGGTGACGATGCCGAGTACCGCGGAAAGACCTGCTAAACACCCGGAGTCGGCCATGAGGTAGACGTTAGGTACTGTGGAAAGACCTGTTAAGTACCCGGAGTCGGAGTCCAGGTGTGTACCTTCCCTTGAGCGCCGCGGAAGAGACCTGCTAAATGCTCTGATTAGGACACCCAGAGGAGAGTTGAGGGCCGTGGAAAAACCAACTAAGCACTGCCTGGTGTAGGCGACTCCGTTGCTTTTATACAGAACGGCTGGTAGTGCCGTGTGCAACTTCAGCCGTTGAAACAGCGACTTCGTAGACCGTGTGCTAAATCGCAGTGCGCCAAACAATTATGGTACAGCGTGAGCAAAATAAAAAAAAAGTTCATTACTGAAAATATAAATAAAATCTGAAAATCCCGAAAATAAAAAAAGTTCATTACAACCTTCTCAGGCTAGGGCCCGCCTGGCATACGCCACCTCGACTGTATAACCAGCCCAACACTGATTGTAATGATGATACTGGAATTGAAATAAGAATGTGTATAGTTTCAGTAATTAGTGATGGTATGGTGTGTTTAACTCAATAGTAAAATCGTCTAATGGGCTTATAGAGCAATGACAATATAACACAGTTGGATTAGCACAATAGGCTGCTGTATAATAATGTAAGAATGGAATATAACAATAAAAACATTTTTAGAGATTTGGGGGAAATTTTAGACAACAAATTAAATATTTATACACTAGAAGATTTAATCAAGTCTCTCTAAAACATATTTTCGGAAGAGGAAAATTATTTTATTTACAACTATATATGTAGTGTTGATATTTCAAACTTACAGCAATTTTGAAAGAAACATTTCTGGCCTTTACATATACAGGGTGTAAATGATACGTTTAGCCAAAGTTTAGTGACATATGCTATTATGTAAAAGATGCACTTTGTAAGGATGATACATATTTCGCTTCAAGATATTATGGACCGATGTTCCGGAAATCCCCGTTTCTTGTTGTATAGCTCGCACCGAGGTATGTGGATTAGTTTCAACCTTACCTAATACCTGATAAAATCTTTCTGCTTCTCTGGAATTATTACGGCATTCACCGAATATTAAAGTTATGTCGAGCTTTTCTTCATTCGTGTACTGGACCATACTGAATAAATGTCAAATGTGTCAAAGTTGAAGGTGTAGACTTGTAGTTATGGTAATAGTAATATGTAATCAACTTTGACACTTCAAGAAAACAAAAGAAGATTCAAGAAAACGACCAGTTTTTAAATAACATTATATGGACTGACTATGGATATTATTTGTAATTTTTGTTAATTTTGCATCAGTTTTTGTTAAATAAATATTACTTTATCTTGATTGACAAGACTATGATTTGCGTAAACAAGATTAAATGAAGTAATTTCCTGTGATATCTATTAGTTAAATAAAATTAATTCATCACTGTTTTATTGAAAGCAATCTAATGCGACGAAAATCTGCAGTAGTTATGCCTGAAAACTTAACTTTTTACCTCAAATCCAAGTATCTCAGAAACTAGTGGCTTTTCGAAAATTGTTTATATCACAAAAGTTGCTTATAATTTAGAGATTTTTCATGTGCGCCACTTTTCAAAACTGCTGTGAACAAAATATGTTTTCGGATTGCAGCGACATCTATACCTGCACTGAGAGGAACGGGATTTGTACTTATAAGTAAAGCCATTTATTGAAACTATACAGCGGATTTTTCAGAAATCATTTAATCTTTTTCCGTTTTTGAGATATCCAGCTGGGGAGTTTTAAACGGGACACCCTGTATAAGTACTAAATATTCGACTTGACTTTCATTGAAATGATGAATTTCGGTTAAGGCAAGTAGATTTTCTTCTGCCCATATTTGGTTATTTTTATAATTAGTTATCAAATCCTTTGAAAAACTCAGGATTTTCACAATGCAACGGATAAATGAATAATGTAGTGGAAAATCTCGTAGTAAAAGAAACTAGACTCGTTTGTGAAAAAGATGTTATTTTTTAAGATCGTCCATACCATCATGCAGTTAAACTTTAAAATAATTTTTCTAGTGCTGGTGTCCGATTCTGTATCAGTAAAATTCAGTACTACTTCATCCAAAGCCGCAGTTCAAATAATTTCACAATTATAGGCTCTTGAAAGTTCTAGTTTCACATAGTTGTTCTTGAAGGTGTGATGAGAATAGATACATTCTGGAGACATTTCGGTATGAGTGTAGTTTTGCATAGTGAGTAAAATAAAATTCGCACAAAAAAGCCGTCAAACTGAGGCAAGGTTACTAAGAATTATTAAAATTTATCAAGTATCTGATAACCCCATACTACAAAATTTTCATTTTAATATTTATTTATTTATTTTTGTTTAAGAACTATTACATTTACAAAAAAAATTGAGGAGTAGTAGTAGGTTGAGGGCGGCCTCAACCTCACAATTAGGCCGCACTTGGCCCTTTTTGTTTTTTTTTTATGATTTTCAAGTTTTCTAATATTTTACTACAGAAATATTATTTCTATATTATTTATACCTAGGTACACACTTATAAATTATACGGTCCATTGAAAAAACTTAATTCTTCTAATATATAACTTTAGCGACGTCTTAAAAACTACAGGATATCCTGATTTGCACAAGTAAATTTTATTAGGTAGAACATGTCAAAATAAGAAAAAGTTCCCAAAATATGTGGATCGGGAAATATATAGTTTCTGAGATAGAAGGCGTTTAATTCAAAATTCAGAAAACCAGTTTTTCTAGATTTTAATTTATGTTTCTAAAATTTATGGTAGCTTACTGCTTTCGATTTTTGTGACACTACCATTTTAAAAAATTTAGTACAAATTTGGGAAAAACTGTATCTACATTTTTTTAGAGTCGGAACACTCCTGGCGATACATTTAATTTCACCGTTTAGCTTAACTTGATAAAGTTTGGCTAATGCAAATTTGGACATACTATATTTTTTAAAAGGTTGTTAAAACATGTCTTTTAAAACTTTCAGTATTTTCATTGTAACATTAGTCCGGTCAATCTAGACATTCAAAGATACATAAATTTACAACAAGCTGAAAGTGAGTAAAGTTGTTTAAAACGTAATTAAAAATAGCGTATTAAAATTCCTCATTGTTCCGGTACTCGGAAAAAAATTTACTCGAGGTGAAAGGTAAAAAAACGCGATTTTCAGCTAAACGGTAAGTTTTATCATAAAATTAACTCAGACAAAAATTGTAGATCATTAAATTATCTATAATGTATCAATACTTTTTTTGACACATTTTTTATAGATAATTTTATGATCTACAATTTTTGTCAGAGGTAATTTAATACCCATTTTTTTGACCTTTGACCTCGAGTAAATTTTTTTCCGAGTACCGGAAGGATGAGGAATTTTAATATGTTATATTTAATCATGTTTTAATAGTATATTATTTAACGAGCGTATAATGTAGGCTATATTACACGAGCCGTAGGCGAGTGTAATATAGCCATTATACGCGAGGCAAATACTATACTTTATCTTCGACTTAGTATCCGGTGTTTCAGTTATAAATTTGTATATTTCATCTCCAGTAAATGCCTTTGATTTCTTGGGTTGGTAGCCTTCTGACTGCCTTTTTAATAAACTCGAACTTTTGCGTAAGATTCATATTATGTTTAAGGTTAAGTGTGCTCTTAAGCATGGAACAATGGCTCCACAATGTAGACGATTTACATTTTTTTGTCAATTCCTTGAAATATACCAACAAAGTGTCTTCGGAAAACGAATTTGTGACAATTTTTAGTCGCCAGTCCATAAAGCTGTTATATACAATTGTGTAATTTTTTCGTGATTTCTCTGGAAGTAATTCCAATGATGCTAATTTCGCGGCTTCACGAATTTCAGGAGGGGTGCATCGAATTTCATTTTCACTGTCAGAATTAAACTGCAAAATTACTGCAGAAGTCAAAAATGTTTTATTTTGCGAAGTGTTGTCAAATCAATTACATTAGTTACCATAGTAACAATAATTCAAGCAAGCTCGATTCTATTTTGTAGCGCGGTCAGAAGCTATAAGGGATACGTATAAAAATTCATATTCCACACCTGTGGAATATGAAACTCATATTCCACGGGTGTGTAATATGAGTTACATTATGTACTTACTATCACAATTATAATGCGTCTATTATTAAATAGTCGTAGATAAACAATTTTACTCACTTTCAGCTTGTTGTAAATTTATGTACCTTCACTCTTACTTTGGTCTAATTTGACCGGACTACATATAAAACTGAAAATTAATTTTAGGTTTGTGTTACCAAAATTCAATTTTATATGATCTTTGGTCATTCCTGTGTTCTCTTGGACCAAATTGTGGAATTAAAACTTTCTTGGATCATTTAGCTACATGTACAAAGTATTCAGCACCAGAATTTCAAATGCTGCAGTTATTTGCTAATTGTATGTCACATTATGTTACGTAAGTATTATCATTAATTTACTCAAATAAATATCATCCATATATCAAACTCATAAGTTGAAGCATGCTTCTCAATTATTATATTGAAAAATAAATTGCACATCCACAAAACTGAAACATAATTGTTAGTATGTAAACCAAATCTAAATTCAAAGACTATGTCCCCTAATCAACGTATAAATGTAGGCCAATCAATAGAGGTTTTGTTTGTGACAAAAATGCTAGTAGCAAACGGACTGTGCCTTCATATAAAAGACCATTAATTAATTTTTTGTAAACATTTTTATACAAAAAAAATGTTTTTTTTTAATTTATTGCTTATAAAACCTAGACTAACGAAGCAATCTGAATTCTATAAAGAGACAATTTATAGAGAATTGAAATACGAATAAAACGAGAGGTCGATCGATCCGATAGGATAATTAGAAACGAAGAAAAATCGAAAAATTTAGCGTTTTTTAAAAAATTCATTACTCCGCTATTTTTTGAGTTGTAGAACTGACCCTGTACACAAAAGTAGTGAATTATATGTACGTACTTTAATTGTGCACAAAGCAGGCGTTATCGGAAAAATTCTTCCAAACATGCTCAAAAACGGCCGTGCGCGTACGCTGTTGAGTAGTGGAGGTAGATCGGGAGATGAGGGGTATAGTTTAATATTATTGTAAATGGTTATACACAATAAATAATACCAGTGTCATGGAGTGTACAAACGACTCCAATATAGCAGAAAGATCTACATCTGCTAATTGGTGAATATTATTGCAAAATCTTTCGTTTGAATGTACCTACATATGAAGAGTACAGAAATATAATACAAACACAAACAAAATTTTCAAAAAACTCAACTTTTTATTGAAAATTCATTCATAAGAGTGAAGGTTGGGAGCGTTCACAGTAAACTCACTGATGTACACTAGATCGTTGAATCTGTTTCTTATTTGCAAGAGCTAACAATTTATAGTAATTAATTCACAACGTAAGCTATTTATTTTATCTAGCTAAGCAAGATATCTAATATAGTATTATTGTTATGGAAAAATATAGAATTAGAGATAAAAATGTATACAGGGGTTAACGGGATATTAATATTACTCCTCCCGCCGAAGTTTCAGCATCGTCTCCTGGCGATGAGATCTCCTTTGAGAACAAGGCAGTGGTAGTTTTCTTGTCCTTGAGTGGGTTAGGTAACCATCCAAATAGTCTAGGGCAAGGGTCGGCAACTGGCGGACCGCGGTCCAGGTCCGGACCGCGGAAGGTAAAATACTGGACCGTCAAAAATTTTTTGAAAGTATAAATTACTAAAATAAATTATTTAAAAAATGTTTTTTACGTTTAAGTGCCAATCTTATCATTTTTTCTAGTATTTTACAATTGTGTGAGTGTTTTGAGTTCTTAATTAGTAAGAAATTAAATTTGAGTCCAAATTAAAATAAAAAAAATAAGAAATTGAATTTTTTTCTGGATCTCATTAAAAATTTTCAAAAGTATCCGGACCGCACCTAAACTTACTTGCCGACCCCTCGTCTAGGGCAACGCTTTCGGCATCGAGTATATGCGAAGACTAGGATGATTAAGCTTACGATCGAAAGGCATAGAGTCCAAGAGCGTAGCAGGCTCTAGGTGGAATTGGGTCAGCTTTGTGGTTTTAGCTAACTCCATCAGTGAGTCTAGGTTTGAAGTGTCGACTTCTTGTAAATGTAGGGGTTGGTTTTTGTTGATAGTTAAGTTCCATAATTGTTGGATGTCAATTTTTGGTAATTTGTAAACTGGAGATGTTATTTGGTTTTGTGATGAAGTGAACCTTTGTCCATTGATAATTGTAGTACAACCTTTAGGTAGGCTTAGGACAGCTGGTTGTGACACTAGTTGTATTCCGTTTTGACAGTTAGGAGTTTGAAGTGTGTTTGTTGGGATCACTAGAATTTGGTTATCTTCAATAGCGGTGACAATGTTTTTACTGCTGGAAATGTAGTGGACTTGGCAGTTTTTGTGGTTTCCTTTGGATAGCAATAGGTCGAGGCAACTGTCGTCGTGGAGTTGACTTGGTGCATCACAAATGTAGATTTCTTCTATTCTTGGGCATCTTTGTGTTGTAATATAAGTTTCAGTACTCATTCCCATGAAAGGTGATATTGGAATAATAGTAAGGTTTTGGATTGGAACTGGGATTAAATGGTAGTAGGAGTATATCTCGTTTGTTAAGATTGGCAATCTTATAGTAAAAATGATATTATCATCAGAGAAATGAACAGATGTTCCTAAATAAAGGTAATAGTTTTGCAAAACGTAAATTAAACTTTGTTTTAACAAGATTGAATTATGAACCAAGTTCCAAGATGCAAATGTAATTGCATTTTCCAATTCGTCTAGGAATTTATTTATATAATTTAAGTTTACAAATAATTGTGACAAGATATTTTGAATTGAGACGGTAGATTACATATGGGTAAGTTGTCCATTAAATTCTGTGACATATTGATTCATGAAATTTTGAATAGTTTTCTGATTTTCTGACAGTATTGTGATGGTTTTATTATAGTCATTGATAAGTTGTGACGTTAAACTAATTTGAGTTTTTAATTGATATTCAATTTGATTGTTATTTTTATTTAATTTAGTGATTGCTTTATTTATTGCTTTACGGTTAGAGTCATCCATTGTACCAAAGAGCCATTTATTTGCGCTACCTACAAGGTTTATTAATCCGCGTTTCGGACGTGATTTTACATTTGGTACAAGATTTTCTAGCTTGTCTTTTGTTTTTGAAGTTAATTGTAATGCTTGTGTAACTGAAGTTGATAGTCCAGTATTTATGTTTGTTTTGTTATCCATGTCTTGTATTTGTTTATTTAGTAACAATAGTTGTTGTCGAGTATTTGTTAGTTCTTTTTTTTGACAAATTATTATCGGGAGAAATTGGATTAGGATCAATAATAGGTGTGTCATTGTCTGTTTTCTTAGGTCTTCCGCGTTGTCGAGTACCTGGAACAAGGATACGTTTCTTTTTTACTCTTTTCTTATGATAAGTTCCGCGGTGTGTTTGTACTTTTTTATCTTGGTCTTGTTCTACTTTTGTTTCTATAAATCTCGGATTTACCTTATTTCTTAGTTGATCATTCTTTATATAAATGGTATCATTAGGATTTAAATTTTCAGGGTCAATGCGGTTTTTGTTTATATTTTCTGTGTGTTTTTCTTTCTCAGTCTGAATTTTGGTTTGAATCGTTTCATAAATTTGTTGTGAGTTCTTTGCATGGGTTTCAACATAATTTTTTAGTATGTTTTCTTCATCTACGTCAGGTATTTCGTCTACGTTGTTTATCATTGATAATAAGTCATCTTCCAATTGAGTGGTGGCTGCTCTTGTTAATACATTTATTTCTTGTGGTCTATCTTCTAATTTGATTCTTGATAGAGCATCAGCTACATAGTTTGATTTTCCTTGTTTGTATTTGATAATATAGTTGAATTCTTCCAAGTGTAGTCTCCATCGTATAAGTCGAGTGTTTGGTGTTTTCAAGTTTGCTAACCATTCTAAAGGTTTGTGGTCTGTGTATATCGTAAATTATCTTCCGTAAAGATAGGGCCTAAAGCATTTACAACTCCATACAATTGATTGTTCTTTTTCTATAGAGAGTAGTTGATCTCTGCTGGATTTAGTGTTCTTGACGCATATGCAATTGGTTTGTTATCCTGGGAAAATACAGCTCCTACGGCATAGTTTGAAGCATCTGTTGTCACTTCAAATGGTTTTTCAAAATCTGGGTATGCCAAAATTGGTTCGTTAGAAAGTAAAGTTTTACAATATTCAAAACATGAAACATATTCTGGTGTTAATTCTATTTTTCTATCTTTTCTTAGACATTGTGTGAGGGGTTTTGTAATCTTAACGAAATCTTTAATGAATTTCCTATAATATCCAAGTATTCCTAGGAAAGATTTTATTTCTCTATGTGTTTTTGGGATTGGGAATTTTTTTATTGCTATGATTTTTTCCGGGTTCGGTCTAATTCCGTCTGGTGTGACTATATGTCCAAGAAATTATACGTTTCTTTTCAAAAATTCAGATTTGTCTAATTGTTCTCTCAAATTTGCTTTTCTTAATGTGTCGAATATTCGTTTTAAATTGGAAATGTGTTCTTGTAACGAAGTGGAGAAAATAATGATATCGTCTAGGTATACAAGGCAAATTTTGTTAATGTGTTCTCTAAGAACATTATCTATCATACGTTGAAAGGTGCTTGGAGCATTCTTCAGTCCAAATGGCATTCGTAAGAATTTGTAGTGTCCATGTTCTGTGTTGAAAGCTGTTTTTGAACTGAATTTGGTGACATCTCTATCTGGTGAAATCCAGAGGCGAGGTCTAATGTCGTAAAGTAACAACTTCGTCCTAATTTGTCTAAAATATCGGTTATGTTAGGAATTGGATATCTGTCTGTAATAGTTTTGTTGTTTAGGGATCGGTAGTCAATAACTATTCTCCATTTTTTCTTTCCAGATGCGTCTGCTTTTTTCGGAACTATCCAGATGGGTGAACTCCATGGTGATATGCTAGGTCTAATTATTCCATCGTTTAACATTTTGGCAAGTTGATTTTGTACTTCTTGTTTGTATATGTGTGTGGGTATCGATAAGTTTTAGTATGACATGGTGTTTCGTCAGTGGTTTTAATTTCGTATTTAATGGTGCTTGTAAAGGTCAATTGGTCTGAAGGATTTTGGAAAATATCCGCATATTCTTCACATAAATTTAGGATTGCATATTTTTCTTCTTTATTTAAATGATTTACTCTAATGGATTCTTTTACATTAATTTGATCGCATGTTATAGGTGGTATAACTTCACAATTAAAAATTTCGTAATCTTCTACATTAAAAGGTTCAGAATTTTGAAAGTCAGAAAGGTAAATGATTTGATGTTTGTTAGTCAAATTGTGGACTTCGATTTCTGCAAGGTGATTTTCGCTATTCGTTGAAGTTCTAGGGACATAAATTTTG